ATATTTCTAAGACCATCGGCATTAGCAAAGTCTCGAGTCTTTGCAATGATAAGGAAGTGCACGGAAGTGGAAACAGTGAGATGTTTCCCAACAGCACACGCTTTCAAACGATAGCAGTGCAGCCAGTGTTGATCCGACGCAAAGGCCTTTCTCCAGCTTGTTTATTGCCGACAGGTTAGTGCGATATGAAGCACGAAATCTTGGTTACGGTTGCACCACGCCAAATCCAGGACGTTTGCGTCACAGGACCCGAGCTCACCGTGCGGTGCATTGCAACCGTCAGGCGGCCATCTTGACATCGCGTCCATCTTCCCTTCGAACGGCCAAGATTCATAAGCGAATTCATTACAAAAGGTCAGACGTCATCTGAATAATGCATTAGATCTGAGCCTATCGAATCACGAGCGTCTGAAGATGACGAATCTGGGAGCCGAAATGCAGGGGCCATCCCATTGTGCAGCCATCAGTGGAGATCCTTCGTGGCTATTGATAGTCAAGTGGACGGCCGACCACTCCGAGCTGAGGGCCGCCATTTTCGGCCCGGTGAGGCCCGGCGGACCGCAGAGTCGGCCGGCTCGGGCTCGGGCCCGACGGGTCTGCCCCTCGGACCCCTCTCGGGCCGCCGCGGTGCGGGAGGGAAGAGGGACCTTCGCCGTGCCGTTAGCGGCCCGGTGTGGGCGCAATATTTCACGTCGGGAAATGGGCGGGGGTTCGAGGGGAGAGCGTCACAGACCCGGGGAGCGGCGCCGGCGAGAAGGCCCCGGCCCCGGCAGCCTCGCCGGCAGTCAGCGCGCCGCACCCGGCAGGCCGGACGTAACACGCGTCCACCGGACAGCGGTGGGCCGCCGCGCGGCCCCGTGCCCCGCCGTCATCGCCGTGACGCCCGCCAGCCGGCTGCTGCTGCTCTCGTGACGTCACAGGCCGACAAAGGGCGGCTCGCGGCGCGACGCGTCAATCCGGCGCCGATGATTTGCATGAATCGCCCCCGGTTGAAGATTGAAATTCATTGCGGCAGAAGCGGAGCGGAATTGAAGGAAATCAGGCGTGACGCTGGTCTGCTCACTCCCATCTGGCCGGCGAGGCGGGGGCGCGACGGCGGCGATGCCCCCCGTCGATGGCCGGATTAATATGTTGCCGTTTTGACTCAGCGGCAGGACAGCGTGGGGCTTTCGCAGCCGGCTTGGCGGAGTGAAGTTCAGGCTTGGATGAAACGGACGCGCATCGAATGACCCAAACGGTCATTCGGCGCGCTAATAATAGAACGAACTAAGCAGCGGACCACGCACAATCCCGCTTACGAAATCAAGAAACACTGGCTTTCCTCCGCGCTTCCGTACTTCAGAGCTTGCGGTGTGCATCAAGGTCGATTGTGCGCCACACGCGCCGAAGACGCATGCCAATTTCTTGGTTAAACCTTCCATCAGTAGGCAACAGCATGCATTGTAGACGCAGCCACATTACCCGCACAGTGTACAGTACCGTTTACCTGCGTGTTCCGCCAATATTTGCGAGCTGCCCTGGGTTAGCGGGTGGTCCTGGATAGACGCATTTTTTCCTAGCAAATTGTCCTTCCATAAAAGCATTCGTGTGACCATGATTATACTAAATGCACATGCTCACAGCGAAAAATACATTCTTTATTTCATCAAATTCCATCCACGTTGCACTGTTTCACGCAGAACAATATACATACCACGCGGACCATTTCAAATTGGACGAACAATAATGGGCTCGAATACGGCAGACCTGCTGCAACTAGCACACGTCACGCCATGCAGTCAGCTTATCCCAACGCGAAAGAGGTGGGGCCTAGGCATAACGTACTAAACTATTCAGTCTTTATTCGAAACAAAAGTGTGAGATTAAAACACAGAAACTGGTGTTATTTCAACGACGAGCTAAATATAAATCTAGAGACACCATTCATCACGGCACTACGACGCCTGAGCAGCGACAAGGGCCTGTCATGTTTGTACGAACACAGTTTGCCAAGTAGCCTCCGAACTGTCCAAGTTTCATAACCGACACCATACAACTCTACACTGGGTCTGCCGTCCGTACCCTTACGGCGCTCACCCTGATCGACTTCCGGGACCACCTGACGGGAGTTACGCATTAAACAACATCCAACAGTAACTAAACTCCTCCGCAATATCCAAACACACACCGTTGTAGTGTATACCCAGGCTAAAGACGTCAATAAATCTTCACATCTGACCCAGAGCACGCCGCGTGAATCCTCAGCAGCGGAGCACGTGCTAGTGTATCCGGTGAGCACAGCTGCTCGAGGAGCACCACAGTCCCGCCCCACAGCTGGCCCAAGTCGTGGACCGGCCCCGTCTATCATTTGCCCGGCTTGGGCAGCGTTCCCATGTACTTGGCGACGATCCCCAGCATGACCTCGTCAGCTCCCCCGCCGATGGAGAGGAGGCGGAGGTCACGGTACATCCGGCTGATCACCACCTGCCGGCCAGGTCATCTCGGGTCAGCACAGTGGGCGATCACATCGATACCGCATGCAAAGCAGGACTCCGCACGACTTTAAGCATGCGATGGGGCTGGAGGCAACGTACGCACCGCTCATTACTTAAGCCAATCTTTACGTCCGAGTCTGCACGCTGGGGTCCGTGGCTAGCGCTGACTAACGTCCTTTCTGAAAGGTGGTGGGAAGCTGGGGCCGTGAACCGCCACATCACCGTCCCAGCATCGGCGACACCCGTCAGCAAAGGACCCGCTTGGCGCTGGGGCAACGTCGCCCCCTCCCCCTGCGCCCGTGCCGTGGATCACTGGGATCGTAACCGCATTGATACGGCCGTCGACAGTCATACAATCTCACAACAGACTTATTGATAAACTGGCCTCGCCGAGGTCGCGGTGATCAGGCTTTCGCACCACCCTCGGCTCAAGTTCCAAGAACTAAGTTCACACTGGCCAGACTAGCCTACGGTTATCAGCTGGCGACAGACCAGAGTGGCTGCCTCACAAGGGGCGGCCGCGACGAGGCACCGCGGCACGGATGAGACCAACAGCGGCCGGTCTCGGTGGAAGATTGGGGGCGGGATCATCCGGCGAACTTGCTTAAGCTCCTCAAATGGTGGGCTTAGGATCTGGCCTTGAAATGTGCGTCGATCCCAAATACGGGTCCCGGGATCTGGGATCTGGATAGTTATTTCAGTTTCGCATGGTGTTCTGGATCTACACTTGGAGCCTAGGCACGCGCCTTAGCTCATCACGTGCTCTAAGCCCAAAGTAAAAGACGAGTCTGTTTACCTCCTTCATGAGTTTTCCTCGAGTCTGTTTACGAGTCTGTTTACCTCCTTCATGAGTTTTCCTCACTGTTTGACTCTCCCTCCTCTCCCCATTGTGGAATCCAAACCGGCCAGAGATCGCCAGCACGTTACAAACGACAACACCGATTTGCACGAAAATTTCGCACGAACGCTACAGCACCAGCGCTAAACACCCGCGTCTTTGTTGGCGCCCACCGCTGTGAGGCCAGTAGACACCAGCAGGTCAATAACACACTGCCTGACGTGGAACATTCAGAGCGCGGGGCGTAGACAATCTGAAACGATACAGAACAGCTGAACGCCATCGGCGCCACCGCCCTGGAGAAATGGCCGCCGCTTTTCGAAGCGCTCCAAAACATTGTTACATTCGCGAGTGGCACTAGCCCAAGGGGACTGCCGATGACAAAACCCGGCTCGCGCCAGCTTCATACGCGCGCCACGGGCGAGCGATCGGCGTTCCTGGGCCAACAAAGCGCGATTGTCCACTGCAGACAACCGGGCGCTCCGAGCCATTTGACATCGACTGGCACGGGCCGCATGACCAGAGCGTCCGTCCATTGTGTTCTGTCGAACCGGCGCGGCACCAGATCGATTCAAGCGACCGACGGCTCGAGTCCAGCGGACCGTAGGCCGGACCCGGCAGACCGCCGGAGTCCGGCAGACCGCCAGCGGAGTCCCGCAGACCGCCGGCCGGGTCCGGCAGACCGCAGGCGGGGGCCCAACAGACCGCCAGGGCCCAGCAAACCGCCAGCGGAGTCCCGCAGACCACCGGTCGGGGCCGCTAGACCACAGGCCGGGCCCGGCAGACCGCCGGCCGGACCCGAAAGACCGCCGGCTGGGTCCGGCAGACCGCCGGCCGGGTCCGGCAGACCGCCGGCCGGGTCCGGCAGACCGCCGGCCGGGTCCGGCAGACCACAGGTTAGAGAGTTGCACCCACTCACCGGCCGGCGTTTAGGCGATGCGAGGCAGGTCACAGATCCGATAATCGCAAAGGTGAGGCGAAAACTCCGTTCTGTCCAAGCGCAGCTTGCTACGCTGGGCGTGTTCTGTCCAAGCGCAGCTCGCTACGCCGGGCGTGTTCTGTCCCAGCACAGCTCGCTACGCCAGACGTGCTCAGTCCAAGCGCGGCTCGCTACGCCGGGCGTGTTCTGTCCAAGCACAGCTCGCTACGCCGGGCATGTTCTGTCCCAGCACAGCTCGCTACGCCAGACGTGCTCAGTCCAAGCACAGCTCGCTACGCCGGGCGTGTTCTGTCCAAGCACAGCTCGCTACGCCGGGCATGTTCTGTCCCAGCACAGCTCGCTACGCCAGACGTGCTCAGTCCAAGCGCAGCTCGCTACGCCGGGCGTGTTCTGTCCAAGCACAGCTCGCTACGCCGGGCATGTTCTGTCCCAGCACAGCTCGCTACGCCAGACGTGCTCGGTCCAAGCACAGCTCGCCACGCCGGGCATGTTCTGTCCAAGCACAGCTCGCTACGCCGGGCGTGTCCACCAGGGACGGTGACGCGTGTCAGTGCGACTACGGGCTAAATGCGGAGGCCAGTGTGCTTCCCTGCACGCACCAGGTTTGGGCACTACACTGTGACGGATTCCTCTGGGACTTCGTCAGCCACGGTCGTGTGCCAACTCTGCTGTTACGCACAGCACAACGGTGGTCCGGACTGGCTTCGCCATGCACCGAAGCATGCAACGTTCAATCGATACACGGTGCCTTGTATTACATACTTTATTTACCTGTCACATGACACAATTCCGTCATTAGCTGTCTGATCGCTCAAGCTTATGGCGGCAAACACGGAATTCACGGCATCTTTTACAAACAACCTACAAACTTCGCGTGCATAGTGAGTGTTCCAGTAAATTGAGCCACGCCGGCGCAATGAAACAGTAAGTTGGGTTGGCACTAATTGTCCAATTTCAACAAGACTCTCGACATCGGCGAGACAAAAGGGACAACATCGCTGTCGAGAACCAGGGGTCACCTAAATAAACGAATGGTGCCACGAGAAAATTACCCTTGTCACACAAACCACATTTTTAACCATTGTAAATCGAACGAAGAGGAAGAAACCACAAAAAATGAACTAAACCGTGCTACATTTCTAAAAGCCAACGTTCCTGTTTCGAACACGACCTATATCAAAATATATTATCTTGCTCACATCAGAATCAACAACTCCATCCATCACAAATTCGACTCGAAGAATGCAAATTTGATTGCGCAAGACAATCCATCCACAATGGCAGCCATTACGACTTATTGTTAACCCAGCTCAGTGCCCAACAAACGCTTAACTGTGTGGTCGTTGATACGGTACAACCAGTCCCCCGCAACTTTTTGTCCAAGCCTCCTCTCACGCAATGCGCAGATGCACACCGTGTCACGTTTCTCCGCCGTAACATTCCCCGAATATGATTTCTCTCCACGCCCGTCAGTCAAAGGCGAGCTCACAGACGTCCCACAAAGCTCCCGGGCGGCTCGCACATGGCTATTTTCCCGGCTTGGGCAGCGTTCCCATGTACTTGGCAATGATGCTGAGCATGACCTCGTCGGCGCCCGCTCCGATGGAGAGGAGGCGGAGGTCCCGGTAAAAGCGGCTGACAAGCACCTGGGGAACAGTAGAGGTCAGCTCAGCTCACGCCAGCACACCGGCCCCGGGCCCGCCGAGGTCGCAGGAACAGCGCGTCGGCCAGGGTCGCGCCGCTGGGTCCGGCCAGCGGTGACCAGCTGGTCCAGGACGGCTGCTGTACCAAAGCGACGTCACGGGAAGAGCTGGGGCATGCCCAGCTCGCATCAAGCCGTATCTACGACGGCTGAGAAGTCCCTCTCCTTAGCCTATACGATACTATCCTGAGGAAGCCCAGACACCGCCGCTATATTTACCTAGTCTGTTCCCACCACGGCACGACGGGCATTTTCTTCCCCGTTCAAAAACCTCAATATCCCGTGAAGTGCTGGTTAAACGACGCTGTAGTGCCCAACAAAAAATATATGGACAGTACCATTATATTAAGGGTGCAATTCTATTGACGGTATTCAGTAGCGTCAATATAATTGTTATTTGGCACTACAAAATCGTTTAACAAGCACCTCCTGGCATGTTCCAGATCATCAACTAAACACCATAACAACTTTGAACTTACAACGTGCAAAAACTAGGAGCTGAAGGCCATTCTTTCTTATATCTCGTATGTTTTCTGGAAAGTAATTGCTTACGTTTAACCATACCGGCGCACGATATCAAATTTCAAAGGCCTGCCCCAAATCCCTAATCATACCCACCTCAACATATGAAAGCACCTGTCAAAAGGTTCGTGACAACATAATGCCTCCGACGCCAGCAGTCATTAAAACACAGTACGGTCGGCAATGTGTTGAATTTCTTACCTGTGGTCTCCAGCAAAAACACCAACTGCTCTCGACGTCTTTGCAAAATGTCAGATGGACCGTGAAAGTGCGGACTATGAGAGCTCCCTCCCATCTCAACCAGAGACTGCCATTTCTAACTGTCCCGGCGCTAGCTTGAGAACAGTTACAGATACCTTTGTCCGCCGGTTTCCACGAGCGAACTTACACCGCTCGATGTACACCAGGCGCGCGCGACAAACCACCGTCCTCTGACGGACGAGGCTACCCGGCAGACCACACCACACGGCAGGCTGCCTCAAACCAGCCCGTGTGGCGCCTCAGTCAGCACACCACGCCCATGCACCAGTCGCCGACGGCCGGTTCTGCCGCGACTGACCTCGTTGGTGAAGCCCATGCCGCCCCAGAACTGGAGACACTTGTCGGACACCTCGCGCACCAGGCGGCCGGACTTCAGCTTGCCCATCGACACCAGCTCCGTCACGTCCTCGCCCTGCACGAACGACTCTGCCGGACGCGGGCGGACGCGCTGTCAGTCGTCGACACCACAGAGCTACACGGCGAGTGGGACGAGGCGGCGGCAACACCGTTGGCATGAAGGTGCCCTCGCGCTCACGTTTAACGCTTGAAAATGTACATCTCCAACAACTCATGGAGGCAGTCTTCGGTGAACGTTACAGCGTGGTGAGATATGAGTTGAGACTCAGAGTTTAAACTCATGGGTGTCGGGTACTTTGAAATCCAGTCATGCTGTCCGTACTCACTGCACCCTACATGCGCTACAAGCAAGCAGTATTGTACTACAACCCTGATAGATGGCGTTGACCACTGCCGTTCACGAGCGCAAAGCGGCGGCGTTTCCCAGCCTCCGGACCCGCAGAGAAGCGAGCGCTGTTGCTCCACCCACCAACGGATCGGTAGAGCAGCGACCGCAGCAGCTCCACCTCGGTTTGCAGCTCGGCCAGTGTGAAGTGCACCACCTGGTTGTCGAGGATCGACTTGCCAAACGCCTTGCGCTGGCGCGTGTACTCAATCGTCTGCTGAATGCAGAGCTCCATCGGCACCAGGCTGAGCGCGATGCCGGCCATCCGCTCCTCCTGGAACTGGAGCGGCGCGCGCGGCCCGTCAGCGCAGCAAGACGGAGGTGGGGTCACAAGCTTCGCTCTCCGTGCTTACGAGCCCTTTGCTTCGTGTTCACGGGACTTGTGCTCTGTGCTCACGGGCCAGTTTGAATCGGTGTTCCGGCTCCGTGCACGGCAGGGGAGACCCAGACAATAGTTCGAAGCAGCGACCCTGGTTTGACGTTAAGGGGTACCAAATACCCGTAAGCCCTCTAGGCAGAGTTGGAGCCTATCCAGCGAAGAAACACTCGGCCCAGGACCGGGCTGGCGCTACCTCTCCGTGTGCGGCAGCAGCCGGCGGCTGACCTGCTCCATCTGGTAGGTGAAACCCTTGCCCTCTTCGCCGATGATGTTGTCGGCCGGCACGCGCACGTCCTCGAAGAAGATCTGCGCCGTGTCCGAGCTGCGCATGCCCATCTTGTCGATCCGCTTGGCGATCGTCACGCCTGTCGACGGGACGGCGACGGTCACGAACGCCGCAGGCTCACGATCTGGTGCCGGGAACAGCGCCAAGCTGGTAGACAGCCACAACGACAAAGGCACACGCTGTCACTTTATCTAAACGCTGGCGAAAGTCCACACCGCGACAACTAGGGGCATTGGCGACCACTAATCGGCGCCAACGTACAGCTCACGATCCGCACACTGGCCAACCATCGAAGTGCAGGCCAACAGATGCCGCCGTCTACCGCGCGCCTGCCGAAAGCAGTGCAGGATGGTTCCCACATCCCGCCTGCCCATCTGGCGTTCATGTCGTGTGCTCCCCTCGCCCTCCCCTCGTCCCGCGAGTGGTTAAGACACGATCCCTCACGCCGCGGGGGGGGGGGGGGTGGGGCACAGGATGAGGTTGGCTATCTCGCAGAGCGCCGGCGCCGCGACCGCCGCGCCTACACGCCCGCCACCTACCCTTAGTATCCATGGGCACGCAGATGAGTGACTTGCTCTTGTGCGGCGCGCCCTTATTGGTGTTGGCCAGCAGGCAGATCCAGTCGGCCTGACAGCCGTTGGTGATCCACATCTTCTGGCCGTTGATGACCAAGTCATCGCCCTTCCGCTCGGCCCTCGTCTGCCCCAAGTAACGCCAGGTCAGAGCGTGGAAGGTGAGCTATCATGGGGCCGTACCCGTGCTTCATCACACGCCTTTTCCGGCCCGTGACCGCTTCGGCCCACCGACCAAATCCTTTGTCATTAAATAATAACCACTGGTTCAATCCAATCGTGCCATTTGGTCTAAAGTCAAAAATAGTTCAAAACCTATCGGCTGAATTCTCAGGACACGATGATTGTCGTTATCCCAATAGCCGCAACTCATGAGTGCGTTACATAAGGTATCCCTGTCCCAGCCTCTGAACATGTACAGCACAAAAGCACCAAGAACAACCGAGTTTATCACTAGTTCGCCAAGGTCTCCACGTTACGCACGCAAACCATGGATAACAATCACTAGATGATCCGAGGCATGACGTTTTTTAAAACCATTCCATGACAACAGGCCGAACCCCAGACCTCAGCACCGCTGCCGTTTGTTCGTCTCCCATGGCAGCAGCTGGCAGCTGGACCTGCCGCCGCCACTTGCCTGGATGGAGGCCACGTCGGAGCCGGAGCCAGGCTCACTGACGCCCAGGCAGGAGACCAGGTCACCGGCCACCGAAGGCGCCAGGAACTCACGCTTCAGGCGGTCACTGCCGCACCTGGCGGCGCCGTCAGAGGGAGGGGGCGTCAGAGGGAGAGGGCGTCAGATGGAGGGGGAGTCCAGAGGGATTTTTGGGGGCGTCGTCAGAGGAAGGGGGCGTCAGAGGAAGGGGGCGTCAGAGGGAGGGGGCGTCAGAGGAAGGGGGCGTCAGAGGAAGGTGGCGTCAGAGGGAGGGGGCGTCAGAGGGAGGGGCGTCAGAGGGAGGGGGCGTCAGAGGGAGGGCGTCAGAGGGAAGGAGCGTTAGAGGGATGGGGCGCCAGAAGGAGGGGCGTCAGAAGGAGGGAGAGCGTCAGAGGGAGGGGCATCAGAGGGAGGGGGAGTCGGAGGGGGAGGAGCGTCAGAGGGGGAGCAGCGTCAGAGGGGAAGAAGCGTCAGAGGAATGGGGCGTCAGAAGGAGGGGGCGTTGGAAGGAGGGAGCGTCAGAGGGAGGGGGCGTCAAAGGCAGGGGGGCGTCAAAGAGAGGGGGGCATCAGCGAGAGGGACGTCAGAGGAAGGAACGTCAGAGGGAGGGGGCGTCATAGGAGGGGCATTATAGGGAGGGGCGTACATAGAGGGGGCATCAGAGAGAGGGGGCGTCAGAGGAAGGGGCGTCAGAGGGAGGGGGAGTCAAAGAGAGGATGCGTCAGAGGGGGCGTTAGAGGGAGGGCAGCATCAAAAGGAGGTTGGCATCAGAGCAGTGTTGGAAAACCTCGACGTTTCCTGGTATAATGTATACCGGTAGATTTGTTCTCCAGAATCGTGACTAGGTAAATGAAATGTTTTGTACTCCATCATGATGCAACAAAAACGGCTTTTAGAAAAACCCATTGTACCTGCTTTGTGTCAGGACAAAATAAAACCAGAAAGTGCGACAGCTTGAGACCTGCTGCTTCCATCAGGAGCCATGTATTGATATCTGCAAGAGCACAAATCTTGCACTAACCAGACTAAGATGCCCAATATCAAGCAGCCTGTGTTGCTTCCTAGGTATAATGGCAAATCATGTATGGAAATGTGAAAAATGAAGTGTGTGAATGTTGAATGGAATCGCCTTGGAACAATGCCGGGAAATGAAAAACGAGTACCCGAAATCGCACCGGTCTGTAGACTAGCAAAGCCCTCACTTCCTATTCCCTACGCAGACCACTCAAACCTGAACATGACTTAACCTACCATTGGCGACGAACCGCAATAATTGCTAAGGATGCGACGAACAGTCATAGAAAACCACACGCCCAATCACCTCCCACAGACGTCCGCCTACTCACGCGCCATCCTGTGTCATGGCAATGCAATGAGAGAATTACTCGCAATTCAGCGTCGGAGAACGTCTCAACTATTCAGCGGCTTGCGCCCGCCTCCCAGCTCAGGTTGAGGTTGAACATAGCAAAACTCTCCAATTGGTTATAATGATTTGCCTCCTCGTGACTGATTTGTCCAGGGCATGAATATTCTGCCTCGCGCTCATGCCTTGAACGGATTGTAAACATTTGGAGGAAAGCCTGCATAGAGGTGGGGCATCACGATTATGAAGAGGGACTTATTTGTACTCATCCAGAAACCGCCCATGTGGTTGGATTTTGGCCATTTCTTGGCATCCGGAGTACAAAAATGCCACAACAGGTGTGGATTTAAACCAAGTTAAATTGTCACTTAAGGGTGCGGAATAAAAGCTAGGATATCAGGCTTCAAGTCGAAAACGGCGCTATAAATGGCCAAAAACGGTTCGGAGACACCATTCCCCTCCGGAAAAAAACACCAGGACACCAGAGTAACATGAAACCATAACTTTGACCCCCCCCCCAAATAAGGAGAAGGGTTTATTAGGGCAAAAACATCAATCACGCTGCAACATAAATCACCACATTTCGCAATAATGTCCGTTACAGCGCATCCATCCCCTTATTACATTAGCATCATCCGCAGGAGTCAGCGAAGTGACTGGCTACGATCCCTTTTGTCGTCGGCCTGCCAAAAACCCCCGGGCCTGTCAGGCATCGTACTTGCGCTGGCTCGGTAAATCGGTTATGAGTGCTACCTGTCTCTATTGTTCGGATGGGACGTGCAGGGCCTCGTGTGTTGACCGGGAGTTGGAAGGTGGAGGGCACGAATGTTTCGCTGTTTTTAAAACCAGTTAGCTGGTGGAGCGTGAGTAGCGTTACCGTGGTGGAGCGTGAGTAGCGTGGTCGTGGGGGAGCATGAGAAGGTTGCCGTCTGTGGCATGTTCAGTTGCATTTTTTGTATACCATGTTTCTCTGGCTGTGCGTATCCTACCCATCCTCCACTTTGGAAGGTGTATGAGTCTGATGTGTAGCCATTAGCCATTTTGGAGAGTGTTTAAGCCACATGCGTAATTATCCTCCGTTTTGGAGGGTGTATACCCAAAGCCTTTCATAAATTGGAGACCCATGTATGTGCACATGTGTTTCATAGTGCAGAGTATGAGACCATGTTGTTTCAGTGTGCCATATTTAATACTGATGTTTCCTTTCATTTAAAGTGCTTTTACATGAATTGCTGTATATAAAAAGGGGCACCTTTGTTGAGTACCACTCATTGTACTATTATCTCTTTAAGATAACCCAAATAAAACTGTAATAACCTGCAGCAGCTGGATAATTTTGTATTCCACTACAGAAAATGTGTACTCCGCTACCAGTAAAAGTTTAGGAATTTCCAACACTGCATCAGAGGGAGGGGGGTCAGAGGGAGAGAACATCAGAGGGGGGAGCGTCAAAGGAAGTGGGCGTCAGACTAGGCTGTCGGGTCGGCTGGGTTGGTCATGGTCAGACGACACCACACCGCACGGAGCTAGACGGTATACTGGAGCTTATCGACAGCAGAACATACCAACACTACGAACAAAGTAATTAACATGGCAATGAAATGTCATGGCAGTCTTGACTCTAACAAAGCTATAGCGAACAAGACGACTCATCGCATGAAAATACCAATGCTACGCCCTTTTTAGATAACTGCTGGCTTGGGAAACGTAATAACACTGACACATTCAAGGAGAGCACGTCTTAACATAACCAGAGCTTGCCGACCGAATACGAAACCCAAAAGGAAAAATGAAAAGACACCGCGAGCGCAGCGCGAAGGGGGCGGAGCGGGATGTGAGGAGGGACGAGGAGGGACGGCGGGGACGGAGCGGGATGTGAGGAGGGACGAGGAGAGGCGGAGGCGGCGGGTGTGAGGAGGGACGAGGAGAGAGGGCGGAGGCGAAGCGGGATGTGAGGGGGACGAGGAGAGAGGGCGGAGGCGGAGGAGCGGGGTGTGAGGAGGGACGAGGAGAGAGGCGGAGGCGAAGCGGGATGTGAGGAGGGACGAGGAGAGAGGGCGGAGGCGGAGTGGGATGTGAGGAGGGACGAGGGAGAGGGCGGAGGCGGAGCGGGGTGTGAGGAGGGACGAGGAGGGAGGGCGGAGGCGAAGCAGGATGTGAGGAGGGAGAGGAGAGAGGGCGGAGGCGGAGCGAGATATGAGGAGGGACGAGGAGAGGACGGAGGCGAGCGGATGTGAGGAGGGACGAGGAGAGAGGGC